TGGTGCAGGCTGAGGGCCCCTGGGGAAGGGAGGCGGGAAGCGCGGGAAGTGCGCAGTCCGGTCTCCAGGCCTCCAACCTGACCCAGTGGGGGGGCAGCCCTCTGGGAGGGGAGGGTGGAGGTTGTGGGGGCCCTGCCCCCCTTCCTCAAGGCAACCCCAAGGAGTGGTGTAACCATAGCCCATGCCTTTTTGCTGCCTTACACACCAGAAATCCGGGGCTGGTGTAGGGGAGCAGGACATGTCCCACGGCCAATATCAGGCCTGAGGGCAGCACCTCCTTCCCCCCAAATGCCCCGTGCTCCTGTTTCCCACCTGCACCAGGCACCCTGGCTTCTGTCTACTGTGGGGCCACTCGACCACCTGACCACCTTCTCCTCAAGCTTCCTCCTGGCTCCTGGGGCGCACTGGGGGCTCCCAGGAGGCTCCTGCACGCACTGTGATGAGAGCAAATCCTGCCTTTGAGACAAAAGTCTCCAGCTAGCCTCATGGTGGAAAGTCAGGCTTTCCTGCCCAGAAGGCAAGTTGGCAGCACCACTGGCATCTGGTGCTGTGTGCCTGGGAACGTGTGTGCATCAGGCCAGCGTTTGGTGGCGTGAGTGCATTTTTTTGTGATTTTCCAGAACCTGCTGGTGCCACCGTCCGTACAGGATCACACACCTGCACCCCCTCCCCCACATGCAGGAGCAATACTAGGATATGCTGTGCTGTATTTTGGGGATGAAATGACATGTGGAATGTTTGGCACGGTAGAAGTGGCACTAAGAGGATGCCATATCACCACATGGTCTTGGTAATTTATGGGATAGTCGCTGCCCATTTAGGGTGGTGCCTCTGGTTTCTGTCACAGAAGTGATGTAAATATCCCTACTGTGTTTATTTTAAAAGACCTGTTCAACAAAGAATAGGAATATGCCATGGTTCTCCTGGCTTAAAGATACAGTTTCAAACGATGACATTGGCAGAGGACTGAGACAACCAGGTTAAACCTGAGATAAAACCAGAAGCTCCTTGTTAGAACTTTCCAGGTGGTCTGCACACAGGTCCTTGGGGATCCTCCAGGTCACTCTCAGCTCTACTGCTCTGGGTCAAAAGCTCTACTGCTTTTGGGTCATTCACACTCCCAGCCCACCCCAGGTCCCATCTACACCTCAACCTTCCTCAGACCTACCTGCCTTCCCCATACCCAGTCTCTGGCATCCTGGGAGGCGCAGTTCTCATTCTTGGCCTCCTGGGCTGCCACCTAGTGTCCAAATTTGAGAACAAAGTTCAGCCCATGGGGCCCACAAGCGTCCCTGGGGACATTGCTCCTGGAGAACCTGGGGAATTCCTTGCTGGGTCTTGGGGTGGGAGGGCGAATATTCCTGGCCTGAGGCCCAAGGCCTCAGATTCTTCCCTGAGAGGTGTCAGCATCCGTCTGCCTTCCCCAGGGGCTCATGCACAGTCATTCACTCTCAGCAGATTCTGAGCACCCATCTCTGTGCAGAGATGCCATGGAGAGAACAAGGCGGACGAGCTCTCGGCCCTCTCAGAGTTTATAGGTTGGGGAGGGTATAGAAAATAGGGGTAAATATCAGTGTCGTGACAGGTGGGGTCTGGCAGATGAAAAGCTGAGGAGGATGAAGGGGTAGGAAGTATGTTTGCACATACAGGGGAGGTGGGAGCCCAGAGAGGAGATGCTGAGGGAGGTGTGAGTCAGATGAGGAGGAGCTGTGTTGGGATCTGGGGGTGCGGCAGCTTTCCCGGCAGAGGAGAAGCCCTGAGGCCTGTTCCAGTTGCTGTGACTAAGGAACATATTGCCCCAAAACTTAGTAGTTTAAAATGCCATTTAAAATGTGGGGGTCAGGAACTAGGGGGGGGCTCCATGGGCTACTTCTCACTGGGGGCCTCATGCTCTCGCATCAGATGGCAGCTGGGACTGTCATCTGGAAGCTGGTCCCAACTGCCTCACACAGTTGCTCAGTGGGCCACAGTGATGTGGGGTGACCTGAGAACACCTCAGTTTGGAGTCGTCAGGTGCTCAGTCTGCACCCACAGAGCCTCAGCTGCCTTCTGTGGGGTCCCTGAGAAGCCCTATTCTTGCTAGATTCAGGGGCAAGAAAGCACGATAGATGTGCACCTGAACAGGTGCCCCTTGGGCAGGGGCAGCAGAGGAAGGCTCCGGGCTGGGCAGGGGAGGGAGGAGCCAGGGAAGACACCCTCTCCCCTCCCCCCTCAGACTGGGCCCTGTGCTAGTAGACTGGAGGTGGCCGGAGATTGGGACCAGGAGAGAGGGTGGGGGTGGTCCAGGATGGGGTGGACCCAGGCTCCGGGCTGTATTTTGAAGGAGAGGGTCAGGGGTCAGGGTGGCAGAGTACCTGAGGGAGAGAATGTAGCGGGGAGCAGTCTGATGGTCCAGGAGCAGCGTTATTGCCTGGTGTGGGAAGGTCAGCCGGACGCGTACGAGAGCGACCGAGATCCAGCCAGTGTGTCACTTGCATGGGGCTGCTGGTAGGCTTGAGGTGCTTGGTGTTGCTGCTCCCTAGGGGGTGCTTTGGAGAGGCCGGCTGGAGCAACCACTGGGGGTGACTGCAGGGGAAACAGAGGCCGGCTCTTGGTGCTGGAGAGGATGGACCGGTCAGGCACCAGGAGCGGAGCGCCAACCTGCCCAGCCAAGGTCTCCTCCTGCTTGTCTCCCCCAGCCCCTGCGTTCCCTGCAGGGAGAGCGCGCTCCTGGCTCTCCCTCTTCTTGCCTGTCTGGTGGAGGCAACTCTGAAGACCCACGCTGCTCTCACCTGCCTCATCTCACTTAACTTTCAGACATGAAGCAGGTACTGTCATTGCTGCCATTGTATAGAAACCTGGGCACAGAGAGGCTGGGGAACTCACCCAGGGACACAGAGAGCCAGGATCGGAACATACCCGCCACCGTATTTAACATACATGAGGGCCTCAGTCTCTTAAACAGCGTGCACACTTAAACATCAAATCAAGCTCTTGATTTGGGGAGGTTTGTAGATTCCCAGAGCGCCTGGTGCCCTCCTGCCCCATGGCAGGACCCCACACACTGTCATGACCAGGCCAGTGACATGGGACATCACCCATCCAGTACAGTGCTTTGCGCGACTTTTAAAAATTGTTGCAGACCTTGATAGATCCTGAGTGTTCACAGAAACAGTTTGAATCTGGCTTCTCCTGAGCCATCTGATCGCCATGGCTGTCCAAGAACCGAGTCGCCAGAGGAGCTAGTGTGTGTAAGGGCTGTCTGTTGGGGGAGTGAGGAGGGGGGAGGGAAAGAACTAACCACGGCTGCAATGGGGGCGGGGGGGGGCAGGGTAGTTATCAGACAGCACCTCCCCCGCCCTGGAGCATGGCCTGCCGGGCTCTGATGGTCAAGGCTGAGACCGTGCAAGCCAGAGGCAGGCGAGCTGGGCAACGTTGGTACCAGGACTTCTCCACCAAGGCGAGAAGGGGCGAGGGAGGGAAGGAATGGGTGCCTGCTGTCTGCTGGTACCTTTCAAAGCCTGGTGAGGGGCCAAGATGCCCACACAGCACCCCTCTGTGCCAGCGAGAGAGCGGAACGAGAGTGTCTGGAGCCTGACCTGTGGGCTCTGAGGGTTCAGACCCTTTCTGTGCCCGACCAGCTGTGTCGTGGCTTTGGGCGAGTCCAGTCAACCTCTCGGACCTCAGTGCCCGCACTCCTAGGATGGGGTCGTGAATCCCGCAGGGCAGAGGAGCGAACGCGATGTGCCCAGAGAACAAACAGTCAGAGGTGTTAGCGCCTGCTGTCACCTGCAGGACTTACACAACCCACTTGTGCCTCCTGGGTGGCAATTCCCACCCATGTGTGTTCATTGGGACAGGGCCCAAGGCCACAGGGCAGGGCATAAGAGCTGGGTTCACACCCGGGGTGCCGCTTCCTCAGGAGCCTGGCTGCTGACCCTCGGGCTGCTGTGGAGCGAGACCTGGGCCTGCCCCCACCCCCAGCCCCAGCACAGGGCCCAGAGGCGCCCTTACTTGTTGAGTTGCCGGTGGGATTGGGGGTGAGGTTCATCTCCCGGCCCATCCCAGAGCGCTGGTAGAGCAGCTGGCACTTCAGAGGGGGGGGGAGGGGGGGAGACACCCACTGCTGGGTGCATTCGCACCTAGCCTGGCCCCCGGCCCTTACCTCGTGGGTGGCCCGAGGAAGGGGGCTAGAGGTGCTGCTGCTGTTTTCTGCACAGATCCCCCACTCCGTGGCAGGGTCACTACCGCACGGCTCCCCATCACCCAGACCCTAGCCCCTACACTGGCCCCGACTGGTGACTCCCCCATAAGATTGTCAAGGGCAACCCCCACATTAGAGTGGCACCAGCTTGCCTAGGAACGCAACACCTCACGGTTGGCCCCCACTAACAGGGTGATGGACCCCACCTGTGTCTCCCTGCTGGCGCCTGCTGTCCCCAAAGCACCTCCCACCTCCACGGCCAGTCAGCACTGTGGGTGGCCAGCCTCGGGGCCAGTGACCCTGTGACCTCCACATGGCTTCTTCCCCAGGCCCTGGGCCCAATGAGGGCCTGGAGGAGGTGGCCCTGGGGCCGGAGGGCCCCACCCAGCTGGACCTTGACAGCCCTCTCTCCTCAGCCTCCCCCAGTCCAGCCTCCGCCTCTGTCTCAGCCGGACATGTCCACCCTGCAGGAACTGTGCTCCGGCCTGCCCCTACGGCCTCTCCCTGAGAACCGGGGTCGCTGGGCAGGGGTACCCCATGCCCCCATCAGGACCCCCGGCCTCAGCCCAACAGAAGAGCAGGTAAGATGCAGAGCCCCACCCCTGCTGGGGCCCCTTGCCCTCTGGGCGCCCTCCGAGGAGTCCTGGGGAGGGGGTTGCCCCTACTTCCTGCTGTCTGCAGAAGCCACAGGCCTCACTTTGCCTCAAACCCCCTCCCCAGGCACTCCCACAGAGTTGGCCGTGGCTGGGGGGCAGTGTGCGGGATTCCATCACACCCCAAAACCCATTCTCGCCCCAATGGCCTGGTTGGGTGCAGGGTTGCAGTATCCTTGACAGATGAAGGCCTGGGCTCAAGGTCACCGGCCAGTAAGTGGCGCCTGGGAGGGAGGAGGGGTGCTGTCCTGTGCCCCCCATGCACAGGCTTCTCCTGGACAACGTGTGCTCCGCTGAGCTCTGTGGGCCCTGGTGGGCGGACATTGCTTGTTTCCCTATGTGCCCCCCCAACTTCCAGTGCGCTTGCTGCTGAGGGTTCCAGCCCCCACCCCCACCCCGCCCACCAGGAGCCACAAGTCAGTGGGTGCTTGTAGGGTGGAGAGGAAAATACCCTCAGTGCAGGGACAGGGGACACTGAAAGCCAGCAGGAGACCTGCTGTAGAAAACGATTCACCTACTTTTCCTTTATCCAAATAACTCGAGAATTGAAGACTGAGAGAGGAATCCCACCCCACCCTCCCGCTCCAGACAGACATTCCAGCTTGCTAGGGACAGGACACTTGGGGGCGGAGGGGAGATTGGGGACAGGTAGCTGGGGGGAGGAGCCGCTGGCCAAGGATGCCACAGGGTGTCTGTGAAGGAAGAGAGGAAGGCTGACAGGGAGGAGGGACGGAGCTGAGGAAGGTGGGTGGGGCCTGGGAGGGCCAGGCGCTGTGGGAGGTGAGGGGTGGGGAGATTGGGGCACAGGGGTGTTGACGGGGTGGGGCTGGGCAGGGACAGCGGAGAATGGGAGCCTGAAGTCCGGCTGCCTCAGCCTTTCTGTCCCAGCCCAGGAACAGCAAAGGTTAAAGTGTCCGCCCCCACCTCCTCCTGGCCTGGCAGCCTGGACCTTTGGCTAAGCTCACCCAGGGCTCCTCCACCTACACTTCTGGGGGACACACTTGTTTGTGGGTGCTGAGGCGGTAGGGGGCACCTACGCCATCTGGGCTCTGGGCCTTCGAGCCCTTGAAGGCGCCTTGTGGGTCTCCTGAAGAGCCAAGTGTCTTCTCTGGGTGCCAGGGCCAGCCTCCGCAGCTGGGGAGCCGTGCGTGCAGCGTGCATGCAAAGGCCCTGAGGTAGGACCGGAACCAGGCAGATGTCTGGAGAAGCACAGGGGCGTGGGAGTTTGCGCTGCTTTCCTAGTGGATGAGAAGCCTTACAGTGTTTCTCCTTTTTCTTCCTTTGCCTGCTTTTCTGGTTTCAGACTCACCCCAGTACCTCCCTAGACACCCCCCCACCAAATCTCACTCCCAGAGCGAAAGACTCTCCAGGCTGTGCACTGCCCAGAGGTCGCTTGCCCAGCTAGGTCCTGGGGGGCACTTCTCTGCACTCGTACAAGGTGACCTCAGCAGGTCTCCCTCCCTTTGAATCTGCATCTCCTACTAGCCACAAGCCTCGGAGCAGATCACTCTCTGGTTCTTGCCAGTCTGACTCCTGGTAGGCAAGTAAAGGAAGTGAGGACAATCAGGGAAGGCTTCCTGCAAGAGGCAGCATTGTGGCTGGGCCACGAGCTGGGATTAAGAACTAAGTAGGGTGAATCACACGCGTCTGAGTGAAGCAGGGGTATTTTGGGTGGGAAGGATGGCCCAGCGTGGAAACTTCAGCATGCTTGGGCCTATCTCCACACCCGCCCCCTCACTGTTCTTCCCTCCGCCACAGCTGGCCCTGAAGAATGCCTTGCGCTACTTCCCCCCAGATGTCCAGAAGCTGCTGGCCCCTGAGTTTGCACAGGAGCTTCGACTGTACGGGCACATCTACATGTACCGGTTCTGCCCCAGCATTGAAATGAGGCGAGTGCTGGCGGGTGCGGCTTCCAAGGGGCCCCCAGGGGGTGCTTCTGGAAGGGAGCTCGGTAGAGGTCAGGAACCCCGAGAGTCAGCAGCGGGAATTGGGGGAATTCAGGCTAGGAGGCCCAAGTGTGGCATGCAGAGGGTGGTGGTGGTGTCATCCTTGGGGGCTGGAACCGGGGGCTGGCTGCAGCCCCCCAGCCTGGCCGGGAGAGGGGGGCAAGGGGTCCTTATCGAGCAGGTCAAGCAGGTCTCTCTGTTCTGCCAGCCTAACCAGTCATTCCTGTGCCATTCTGGACCCCAGCCGTCCACAAAGTCCCTTTCTAAATCCCGCATCTTGTCATTCTACTGGGGTGGGCGAGGAAAGCTTGCAGGGTGGCTCCCTGGGTCCCACACAGCTCAGGATCTCCACTGGGAACTCAGGCTGCACCCCCTTGGGAACAGGCAGCTGACTGGGGCTCACCCCGGGCTGCAGGTCCAGGTTCTGTGGGGGGTGCCTTGCTCCCAGCTGCCAGGCAACTCTGCCTTGACCTGAGGCTCACACTCTGGGAGATGTTCTGGAATATGTCAGAGGCTCAGACTTGCTCGAATCACTCCAGGGAATGAATGCCTTCTTCCCAGTAACGCAGGGGTCATGTCCCTCATTCTTTGGGTATCCTGGTACCTGCCCTGGAATTAGCACCAGGGATAAGATGGGAAGAGCAGGTGAATAAAGCCTATCTGGAGTAGAGGCTGCTGGAAAGCAGGTGTCGAAACCACCTTTCTCCCCCAGATGCAGTCTGCCCAGTGCGGAGGAAAGATGGCCTGGTGGGGTGGGGGCCAAACTGCCCGCCCCAGAGGGCTGGGGGGGTGCAAGGATGTGAGCACCAGAGCAAGAGGCCCTGTGCTTTGGGGTTGCCTCGGCTAGGAGCCGGGGGCTGTTCTGCAGCAGGCTGGTCTTGCTGTCCACACCGCACGGCCAGGCGCGGTGCTGCGGTTGGGATGGGGCTGCCGCAGGAAGGCCCCTCTCACAGCGGCGCGGGCCCCTTGCAGGGCCTACCCAATCCAGCAGTACCCCTGCCGGACGAGAGCCGCCGCCGCCATCATGCACATGATCATGAACAACCTGGACCCCGCGGTGGCCCAGGTAAGGCGGAAGACAGCCCCGGCCGGCAGGGACGCAGCGCTTCCAGGGGCTTTATGTAGAAATAATGCCAGATTCCCAGGAAGCCGGAAAGACGGCCCGGGAGGCCCACAGACCCTCCCCCCGCCCACCCCCGGGGCCACGGCCTCCAGTCCAGGACGTCAGCCCTGGTGCACTGGACATACGTGTTGTAGAAAACATTCTACTGGCCACATGGAAAAGTGGAAAGAAGCAGGTTTATACTGTATTATATTTACTCCCATCCAACGTATTATCAGTTTAACACGTAATCATTATAAAATCTAAGGTATTTTACCCTTTCTTTTCCTAGTCAGTGTGACCAGGACTGTTTTATACTTAGTCAGCCATGGTCCTGGGATAACTCCACCTCTTAGTGGCGAGAATGTCCTCTCTCTGCCCCCTCACCCCACCACGTGGCCACAGATGGACCCCTGAGGTTGAGCCCAGGCTGAGTTCCCAGAGTGACCCAGACCCAGCTCTGATGCTCACCCCAAGCCCATCCCCATCCCAGTCTCAGCTGGGTAGGCGCCCTGGGGTCTCACCCCTCTTGCCTTACTCTCCCCCATGACTGCTTCTTTGAGGACCCTCAGTTACCTTGCCCCACTGCCCCCAGCAAGCTGCGGGCCCTTCCTCTCCCTGCCCCGGGCCCCCGGGCCCTCATCTCAGACGACACCACGTCTTTTCCAGTTTCCCCAGGAGCTTGTGACCTACGGAGGAAACGGGCAGGTGTTCAGCAACTGGGCTCAGGTGCGCCCCCAGCCTCTCCCAGCACCTTGTTCTCTGACCTGGAAGGACAGGACTCAGGTCCTGTCTCCCGGGTGTCTGTGACGCCAGCACTGGAGACTCTTGGGGGCGACTGGAAGTCCCGAATTTTGGCGGGGTGGGGGGGCCTCTCCTGGAGGCTTCAAAGTGTCGTAGGCTCTGGACGGGGATGCTGGTGCCTGCAGGACGCCTGGGCCCAGGCAGTGACGGGGCGGGACAGGGCCTGCACTAACAGGGCCCTCCACGCTTTGATCCTCACTGCAGTTCCGGCTGACGATGGCCTACTTGTCGCAGATGACAGAGGAGCAGACCCTGGTCATGTACAGTGGACACCCGATGGGTCTCTTCCCGAGCGGCCCCAGTGCCCCCCGGCTGGTCATCACCAATGGGATGGTGGGTCGCAGGGCCGCTGGGCACAGTGCCTGCCTGGGCTGCAGGAGGGCCAGGCGCCCCCACACCTGCTGGGGCTCTGGGCCACCCCCAGGCCTCGACTCCTACCCCTCTCTTTCAGGTCATTCCCAACTACTCCTCCAGGGCCGAGTATGAGAAGCTCTTCGCCTTGGGGGTTACCATGTAAGTTGCTTTTTCAGTCCGATTACTGCTTTAAGCTTGTCTTATCATAATATAGCGATCTTCAAAATAATTTTGAAAAACAGGATTGCAGCACCCAGGCACAGTTCGTTTAATTTGTCCATAGTAGTTTTTATGGATATACCCATAATTTTTATATAGGTAGGGTTAGGGTTTTATATGAAGGCAGGAAAATATACAATTTGAATCCTGCTCCCCCTCCCCTCCCCCAGTGTTTTATTCTGAACAATTTCAAACATACTGACAATAGAAAGAACTAACTGTTAACACCAGGGTCCTGTGGTTATCACACTATGAAATTTCCTTGACCCTACATCCAACTATTACTCCGTCCCTCCATTCATTCAACACAGCTGCACCCCTGATTTCAGCAGTTCCCTGCCTCCTTCCAGCAGGTAGACTACCCACATGAAGGCCCTGACTGTCCTGTGAATGGAATCCTGCAGATTCTCTTTCAGGTGTGGCTTCTCTGCTCAGCCACATGGCACACAGCAGGGCTTGGTTCTTTTTCTTTGCTGTGTAGTATTCCATCGTGTGCACACACCAAAGTGCTTTTCTCTCTCTGCTCCTATTGGTGGGCCTTCCTGCTGTTCCAGGACTTGGCAACCTGCCGGTAAACAGTAATTAGCTACTGTGTGCTTATCTCTCTATGGGCTGAGCCTGGGAGCAGAAGTGTGGGGTGGTCTTACCAATTACACTCTAATTTTTAAGAGAAAGAAACTTGTTTGGAAAGGTCTGAGCCAGAAGGAAGCAGAACTGGGGGGACACCAGCCTTTTCCATAATGTTTTGTTTTACCAGGAGAATGTATGAGTGCAATTTTGGGGCAACTAAAAAGGAATTATTTTTAGAAAAATTTTCACCACCACACCTCTTAGGGCCCTTTGTGCCTCCCCTCTGAGCCCGCAGAAGCCTTACTTTATCCACAAGTTTGTGTAGTTTGTTTTGTTAAATCATCCTGCTATGTAAACATCCAGTATTTATCTTTGTCAT